CCCCAGCATATATATATTGGATTATAAGAAGACCTTTCTCATTGGCTCTTTCTGAACCAATCCAAAACATAGAAGTGATTGGTTTTGCAAACTAGGCCAGTGGCTAGGTTCAAGTGGGGCAAGCTTTTGGCGTTTTAGGTTTTCCAATTCTTCCTCCTGGTAGTTGATAAAGGAATCCATTTAAAGAGCTTTTGTCTACTTCCTTGAAAAGATACTCCAATCCTGTTTTATAGGATAGCATCAAATTTCTGTACTGCCAACTTTCTGTTTCCACTATACTTGACTCTGTTTCTACATGTGAATCCTTGATCCAGTGCAGGGCATGCTTGTCCATGCCCATCTGGATTGCAAGGAGGCTGATGTGTGTGTCTGGAGAGAATGGCAGGGTCCCTCAGGTTTCAAGAAGAGGTGGATATTGGTTTGGGCTGAGTCCATTGTTGGCACTATGGCCTGACCAGAATTCCCTGGATAGTGACCCTGACTCTCAGTGCTTCTGGGGGGTTTTTCTATGGGTCTGTCTCCTCAGGAGTCGAAGATTAGTGAGCATGTGAAAGAACCAAACCTCTCTGATTCCGTGGCTTCTGACCCCAAGTCCTTCTTTGGCATGGTGAGTTTGTGACGAGGGGTAGTAGTGTGGTGGGTAAGAGTATGGATTTTCATGTCCACAGGGGTAAATAATTTGCCCAGCACCGCATGCTAATATGTGGGAGAAGTTGGGACTCAGATTTGGGTCTTGTTAGCTTCCGTTTCTCAATCTGTAGCTAAGACTATTCTACCTACAATATAGGTTTCCTGTGAGAAGAAAGTAAGGTAGAGAATGTAAATCATGTTTACATAACATTAAATAAGTGTTAGCTATTATTATTCTTACTGTGTGTGACTTGCCTACAAGATTGTGTGAGTTGCCTCCAGGCTCTAATAGGCATGTTATAGGAATCCAGAAGGTTAGACTGGTGTGTTGTGTTTCTGGGCTCACGGAACTGTGGCAAAGACCAGTCCTAGGCTCTGGCCAGGAGGGCTCCTATGGTTTCATTTTTGAAGTTAGGGCTTTGTCCTGGAATGCCAGAATCCATGGTTCCTTTGTCCTAGATCGTCCACTCAGCCTGCTGTGTCTCTGTTCTGTGTGCCAGGTTGAATCTAATGGGAGCAGTGGGGGTGCTTTTTGGCCACACACTACCTCTACACACCACCTCCATCTGTTTGGAGGAGGCAGATCAAAGGGAGGGGATTAGTGGGAAAGAGTCAGGGATGGACAGTGATGATACGGGACAGGGCGGGGGGCATGCAGAGGAATTAGGAGGCTGTGTACTTTAGCCCTGCACTTAGCTGTGGGCTTAAGAGGCAGATGGCAGCTGCATTATGTGGCATAGAATTCAAACTGAAAGGAAAATATCACCAAAAAAGACGAACCCCACAAGCCAGGAAGTGAAACAAAAAGTCACTGTTGTTGGCAAAAACTGTCCATGAAGAATAGCCATGTCACCAAACTCATGAACCAAGGGGTCTGTCCCTTCCAAAGCAGGCACTGTGTTGGCAACATGTGCCCATCAGCATTTTTCTTTATGGCAGTGGAGGGAGGAAGCATAGACAGCAGGACCAGACCATGTCTGGGCATCCCGCCATTTATCAGGGCTGATGACAGAACTATCCCCATTAGCATGCTGTTGGGTAGCAATCCTTCACTTAGCCCAGCAGGGATCATAGGCTCAGGGGTTCGGGTAAGGCCCTGTGGCAGCCAAAGGGCAGTGAGGAGCTGGCCCTGGTGTGGGTACCTGCTGTCTGTCCCAAAGAGAAGCCTATGGAGAAGGCACCACTAATTAATCCCCATTGTCTAGAGGGGTACCTGTTTGGGAAGGGGGAAGACATGAATTGGAAGGAGTTTATCAAGCCTCATTTATAAGCTAGTCACAGGTTTCTGGCATTTGTGGTGCCCTCGTTGAACACTGGAGAGGGAGACAGCTGGCAAGTGACAGACATGCTTTGGAGCATGTATCATGGAAAGACCGTGGGTTTTGGAGTTAGTCCCCAGGATCATCTGACCCCAGCCTTCTTGCTTATCAATCATGTGACCTTGGGCAAATTAAGTATGCTTCCCAACCTGCCTTTGCATCTGTGAAATGATGACAGAGTTTTGGTCTCATAGGGTTTGTTTTTTTGTCCATAATTTTAGGAAAAAATTTAAGCTGGGCATGGTGGCACATGCCTGTAATCCCAGTGGCTCGGGAGGCTGAGGCAGGAGGATTGCGAGTTCATAGTCTCCGCAACTTGGCAAGGCCCTAAGCAACTCAGAAAGACCCTGTCATTAAATAAAATATTTTAAAAAGGGCTGGGGATGTGGCTCAGTGGTTAAATGCCACTAGGTTCAATCTCCCAAACAAATTTAAAAAAACATATATATGGAAGAATTAAAGAATTTACAGTGAATACCCACATACATCTGCAGTGAACATTTTACCATATGCGCTTTATCATATATCTTTGTCTAGTCACATTTTTATTTTAAAGATTAAATTAGATGTCAAAATTTTAGCACAGTGCCTGGCACATAGCAGCCTTTTCTGAAAGGTTGGCATTAGGTTAGAATTGGGGTAGAGGTGGGGCCCCAATGAGTGCTGACTGGCAGAGGCAGAGTTGACATGATCACCTCCACTGTCTGTAGGACTTTGGTTTTCGCAGCCGGATCTCAGAGCGCCTGCTGGGTATTGATGTAATTTCCCCAGTTCTGGATGGAGCCTGTTGGGAGGTAAGTCTCTGTGGGTGGGTCTAGTTCTCTCTGGTGATCACTTTTTGAAATAACTCAAGAGCTGTCTCCTTCCCATCCTAGCATATGTCTCTGGAGGCTCTTTCCCTTTCCTTAAGGCATGGCCCTAACTGTGCCTTTGATGGGACTTATGACCATTCTTGCTCTGTAGTTGCTAGGAATTAAAGCATACCCGCTTCCCCCATGTATTACTCATTTATCTGTTCATTCAGTAACTGAGGGTTGACCACCTGCTCATGTGCAAAGCCCTGTGGAGATTGTGGATTTCAAAGCATTTCATATCCTGGCCCATCCATACCTCTAGCCCACGCACCGCCCACCAGCTGGGTCTGCCACTTGTCCTTCCTGGAGCATACCCTCCACCTCCACTGTGGCTCTGCTGGCCCTTCTGTGTCCGCTTTTGCCCCAGCAAGCTCTTTCTTGGTCTTGGAGGCCCATCTCTGAGGCCACCTTCTCCAATTGGGATGGATTATTTCCTCTTTGCTCTCTTTAGAGCCTCTTGTTTTGTGGTTGTTTATGTCTTCCCTGCCAGAGGTATTCTCTGTGCTGGGCCATAACACCTGACCCAAGTAGGGTACAAAGATGAGTGAAACCCAGATCTGTCCTTAAGCAGCTTAAGTCAAGATCAGTTTTATTTATTTATTTATTTTCCTCCTTGGTGGGTTGTCTAGAAGAGGGATTCTGGCAGAAGGTCTCTGCAAGTTTCAGGGAGCATTTGGTTTGAGTGAGATGGAGATTTGTTGGGTGAAACAAACAAGATGTTTAATAGGAATCTGGCCTGGGAGCCCTTAGTGAAATATGTTGGAGACTGATTAGTTTTTAGGCTGATTGCATTTGAGCCCTTCGTATTCTGACTGATGCCTTCCTGGGCTACTGCCTAGCCACCTCCCTGCTAGGCTTTGTTACCCCATTTATAATTGATGTGAAGGCACAAATAGAGGCAGGTGGGATTAGTCAGGAAGGCTTTGAAGCAGGGGAATTGTGGGGCCTTTTTGGCAGTAGGTGAGCAGGAGAGCTACCAAGTCAGTAGGGTGTGCTAGGTTCTATGGTTCTGGCTTCAAAACCTGGCCAATATCAGAATTCTTTGAGAGCTTTAAAAAAGTTAATTTTTTGTGAGACCTAACCTAAGACCTAATGAAGATGGCAGCCCTTTTGGGGTCATACTACTGATATAAAGCAGCAGTCAGATTTGGCTTGAATTTGGTTCTCAGGGGACACTCGGTGGAGTGCAGCCAGCCCTGGCAGAGGAAGTCCGAATTTATACCTCATGACCAGCCTGGTAGGGTGTGGGTAATGATGGGCACTGAGCTTGGCTGACCAGCTAGAGCCTTTAGTAGGGCTCAGTCTCTAGTTCTCCCCCATCTTCAGGACATGGAGGGGTCAAAGAAGGAGGTGGAGCTGAAGAAAGGAGCAGCAGCCCCTTTGTGGGACAGACAGAAAACAAAACCTTGGAGCTGAGTTAAGGATGGGGACACGGTATCTCAAGCAGTCCCCTTTCTGAAGAAAGTTGGCATGACTGGTTACCTCATTGGGTTCCTTCGCTTCTTTCTCTGTGGCAAAAATGTTTAGGGAGCAAGTAAAACTCTACTCAAAAGGCCCCTCGCCTAGGTTTTCCCCCCGAGGTATCCCTATTTCTCTGGCAGTTTAACTAGTTCAGTTTCTTGCAGAAATGTAGAAGATGGAACAAGCAGGGGCTGGCCGCGAAGACTCGCTTGACAGCTAGCCCTGCAGTCTGCCTGCCTTTTCCCTTCTGATACTAGACTTATAGCCACAGAGTCCTTTCTGAGGCAGGGTTCAACCCTCCAAATTTTATTATGATCACCTCACTCTGTTACTTGTCCTGTATATTTTAGTGTGTTAAATGGGGTTGGATTTTGTGATTTTTGTTTTCTTGAAAAAGTGAGAGAGGGAAGTTTTCCATGAGCATGGTGTGGTTTGCAGGGGAACACATGTATTTTGAACACTGGAAGAAGAATAGGTGGGGTGGGGAGGCTGCCTGCTCCTGTCGTTGTCTGCAGGCTCTGCCCAGGCTGATGCAATGAGGAGTGGCAGTCCTGGCAGGGAGCCCTTCTGCTCCAGGCACTGAGAGGTATTCACAGGCTGCATTGCTATTTTTAATGTAATTTGGGGGAGCTGGGTTGTAGTTCAAGTCCTTTTCTTTCTCGCTTATCCAGATGGTAGAGTCAGCCACAGCTGCTGGGGCTCAGGCTGCCAGTAGAGAGGTGTTGGAGGTACTGGGCACAGGGCTGGGGACCCCACTGGGGAAGACGGAGTGAGCTGTCTCCTACCCCACCTCTCCTGTTGACCCCTGTGTCCCAGAACAGACGGGGCTCCTGTTGGGGTGACAGAAGGACTGTAAATCCCAGAATGGGGACTGGCACTGGCAAAGCCTTTTCTTTTCTTTTTTTTTTTGCATTTGACTAGGGGAGAGGTGTGTGGGAAGAGGAGCTAGCATTTATGGCATGCCTTCTTTGGGCCAGGAGTTGGGCATTATATACATGATCTCATTTAATCCTGACCAGAAGCCCTGGGAGCTGTGGTTTACTATCCCATTTTACAATGGAAGAAGTGGGCTCCCCAGGCAGGAAACGAGGAAGGGCTAGAACAAAGGATAGACCCAGGCTGACTACACCACTGTCCACCTGTGGGAAATATTTTAAATTGTCAGGAATAGTGTCTATCTGTCTGTCTGTCTCTAACTAGCTTAAATTTGTCCAGACACCCAAACTTTAAAATAAATTTTAGGGGTTATTTCTGAATGGTTGATATAATCCCTGACTGGAAAAGGGGCATCTTTATCTCCTGACCCATGTCCTTGGGCAAGCTGGAAGGGAACTGTGGAAGGAATGTTAATGCCTCCTTTCTTCTAGTATGATGATGATGCCCTTTTGGTCTGGGGTAAATCTGCTCTTATTCTACTGAGATCCCTGTTCTCCAGGAGTCTTCCTTTCTAATGAGCTTGCCTGCTGCCCTTAATTTTGCCCACTTAATTTCAGCATCCTTGTGTATCACTGGTGCTGCTACCTTGGGCTTTGGTGGTTGTGGGCTGTTTGTGGATACCTCTGTTGGTGGTGTAGGCTTCCATACATAGGAGGCAGGGTTTTCTTTCTTGTGTGGTCTTTTTCTACCCTTGGTTTCTGACTCTGCCATACTGGGCTTGTCTGCTTTCTCTTCAGCTATAAGTCTAGGACTTAGCCAAAGCCCAGGAAGCTTTACTGGACAGTAGACAGGCCTTCTGCTTCCAATCCTCCAGAGAGCCACCTCTCAGTGCTTTCTGTTATGTGTGGGACTTAGCAGGAGGGGGAGACCCCTGCAATGCATACCCCACTAATAACACACTTTCCACTGCTTCTTTACTACAGGCTCAGAGGTTAGGAAGAGACGACTCAGATACTAGCCAGTGCAGCCAAGATGAACAGCAGAGCAAACACTCCAAAGGCTCCGAGAGGTATAGTATATGGGGGGGCTGCTCTCAGGGACCTGAGTCATGGCATGACTTCAGGATGGTGTGGACTTTGGCAGAATCCTAGCTGGTGTGCCCTGCCTGAAGGCAGATGTGCATTGGCTAGATGGCCAGGCAAGGTGTGTGTGTGAATGAACCTGTGATGCGGCCTCATATAGATCTGTGAAGTGCTACTCTGCACAGAGCACTGTGGTGGAGCCAGGCTCTGTGCTCCACACTGGATTGGGCTGATTATGATGTGTGCCTGGTCTTGGGCTAGGGTTGAAGCAGCCTGTTGGAGGTCTGGGGGAGTCATGTTACAGGGTTAGTACTACAGCTCACATCTCTGAGCCAGAGCCCTGCCCCAGCAGAGATATCTACAGCTGGCTCTGTGTGTGTGGATACACCTAGTGTGTATCTTACTGGGGCTCTCAGCCTCTTAGGCTGCTACTCTGAAGGGGATGGGGTGTGTTCATCCTCTTCTGGGACCTTGGCAAGCTCTCAGCATTCTTACATAGTGCCACAGTTTCATTCATTTTCTGTAATCTGACCACTGGAACCTATAGATTCAGAGCCTGGTGTCTCTTTTTCTCCCCATTTTCCACTCCGTTCTTCCTGGGCCCAGTGATGGTAAACTCTGGGAATGACACATATGTGAGTGTGTCCAGCTGTCACACCTGGACCAAACAATGCAGCCCAGGGCACTGGGAAGCCCTATGTAGTTTAGGTGAAAGGATAGCTCAGGAGAGGGTTTCTCCTTGCTGCACATCCAGCTGCTTGGCCCTGTAGCTGTCTGTGAATATGGGGGTAGGGGCTGGGATCTAGCACACGGGACCCCCACTGCACTCCCAAATTCTCTTCCTGCTCTCCAAGTGGAGGGGCCTGACTGCTGCTGCTCTGGCTGGCCTCACCAGGTTATCTCCTCCACTTCTGCATGGGGAGCAGCTCCAGAGTCCCCTTTATAACCAGGCCACTGAAGGAGGGCCTCCACAGATTCCCAAGGGACAATCTGAGTGGGAGGAAGTGGAGGAGCCTAGAGAGGACTCTGGAGCCAGCCCCACACCACTGGTGTCCGTCCTCAGGTAAGGATGAGAAAGAAGCACCCTGGGTGGTGGTGATCACTTTGTGTGTGTGCTGGGGCTGAGAGAGATGGGGCAGGGTGAGCCTGGGGTGAGTTTGCAGCAGCAGCAACAGCAGCAGCAGCACCACCTGGGGAATGGGGAATCTGCTACTTCCTAGTTCTTTTCTGTAACACATTGGAGTGTCCAGGCTGATTAGGAGAGCTTAAGAACTCTAGAATAAGGAGGTGCCGCTTCTGTTTACTTTCCTCCCTGCCAAGGACTGAGGCAGAGACTCTGCTGTTGCCCTGGCTGCTCCATTCTTGCCAGGGTAGCCCTGTCTCCTAGTCCCCTCCCCAACAGCACCCCTGCCCCTGCCAGGAGTCAGCCTAACTCTAGCCACCCATCTGGAGCTCTATTGTGTGCTAGGCCCAGGGAGAGCGGATGCAGGTCTAAGCCTGATCCTGAGCCTGGTGTACATTTGCTAGTGCTAGTGCCTCTGTCCTCCTGGCAAACTGGGAAGAAGCAGATTCCCCCATTCCCCAGAAAAATATGCTGGTCTTAGATTTCATTTGTTTGGAATGAGCCACCAGGGGACCTGAGCAGCAGCCATGTTTAATCAGCAACATCCATTGACTACTTGCTGTGTGCAGAGCTTCTCCTTGGGTGTTTAACTATCCTGTTTGTCATGTGAAACGGGAGTATCTGGCCTTCAATGCAAATGCTTCAGCAAGAGACCCAGAGGGGAAAGGGAGGTTGGAGAGACCCGAGGTAGGGAAACTACTGGGCTTGTCCCTCTTGTCCCTATTCACCTAAAAGGGGTGAAGATTGAACCTCTTGCCTTCCTCCTGGTTTAACACAGTTACTTCCTTCTTCCTATCAAGGGAGCAGCCTCCGAGCCCACCTGTGGTCCATGAGAGGGGCAAGGAGCAGCATTCCCAGGCTGAGGAGCCATGCCCTGGGCAAGAAAAGACTGAGGACCCTGAGGAAAAGGTGGTGGTCAGCCCCACCTCGACAGTCTCTCTAGAAGTGTAAGGGCCAGTTTTTTGTGTTTGTCTCTGTCCTCTGCTGTGTATGGATTGCTCGAATGCCCATTCCCTCTCTTGGGTGATGGGAGGAGATGCTCTGGCTTCAGCCCATGGAGTGATAATAGGAGGATATTGGAAGTGTCCTTGGTGCTGTGTGCAGCCTTGAGAGCCCTAGGCAGCCATCACTATCACTGATTCTTGCCTGGGGTTAGCTTAGGTCCTGGGGGCTCCTGGCCAGGACCCAGGGTATGGGGATGGGCAAGGGTGTGTCTTTGGCTCATTAGCAGAAACTGGTAGATTATATTTCCTTCTCTCCCAAGGACTGTTTTTCTTTTAAAAACATCTTATTATGATATTTATGTATAACGAAGTACACAAATCTGAATTGTACAGGTCAGTGATTGTTTTCATGTGTGTGCAACACATAATAGCCACTCAGATTGTCATAGAATATTTCCTTCCCCGGAGAAAGTTTCCACCTTCAAATCTACCCTTAAAAGCTACAGTTGTGGCTTCCATCCTATAGATTCAGTTTTCCCATTTTCCACCTTCATATAAATGGAATTATACAGTATATAGAAAATATTTTGTGTGCCTGAGTGTAAAGGTCATCAGGCTTTTGCAGTTCACCTCTTTTTATACCAAGTAGTTAAAAAATTTAGAAGCCACTTATCTTTTCTCTCCCATCCTCACCTGTCCCTCTCATCTCTTATTCAGTTAAGGAAATGAAAGCTCAGAGAGGTGAAGGAATTTATCTAAGGTCCCATCACTAGTCTAGAGCTAGATCCTAGACTTCTGACTTTTGGTCTGCAGTCCCTGTGCCTCTTATGTGTGGAAAGGCACTAGAATTTATGTTATTTCTCCTCTGTGATTGAGAGGTACAAAGGACTCAGGTCTGACTATTGAGCAGAGCCAGGTTCCTATCCTGATGACTCACAGGAGTGTCACTGAGAGCTGGCAGGGCACCTGAGCTCATAATCTCATGTCATCCCTATAATGTTGTAGAGGTTGTGTAGAGTAGGGGTAGTCTACTAGGGGTAGTCCTTGTTATTTTTCAGTTGGTGACAGGTCCTACAATGAAAGCTGTGACCTGAGGAATCACATGGCTTTCCTGCCTCCTTGGTGGCTGTGGACAGGCAGATCAGGGTGCTTTCTATGAAGGACAGAAGCCAAGTGTGGTTCAGAATGAGGAAGATCCAGGCAGAGGTCAGAGAGGCATCTTCCCAGGACCTTTGGAGGGAAGCTCCTCCCTGGACACCTTGTCTGGTTGATGTCCTAACTTGTGTTTCTTCTCCATCCCAGTGACACTGCCCCTGCTGGGGTCTCTAGATACTGTCCTTGACCCTGCAGGCTCAGGTCACACCATCTCACAGGAAAGGCCTCTGTTCCTTTCCTGAGTCTCTTCAGACCCCACAACTTCCTTGTTATTAATCTTCTCAGATGTGTTAGGAATCGATTGGTTTTCAAGGTATTGGGAGTAGCCCTGTGCCTGACATCTGAATCAGAAGGGTTAGGAACAGGACAGGCTAGCAAGGGTGGACAGGGCAGGCTTGTGGCCAAGGGACTGGGTCTGGGAAGCGGATATCCTCCTTTTTGTCATGTTAGCACATTTCACAAAGATTTGAAGAGATAGTAAGTGAATCAAAACCACTGGGTATAATCCTAGCTACTCAGGAAGCTGAAGCAAGATTGTGAGTTCAAGCCCAACCTGGACAACATAGCAAGATCTCATCTCAAAAAGCCAATAAACAAACAAAAAAAGCCACTGGTCTAAATGTGACAGGAAACTAGATCTCCTTGCTTTCAGTCTGAGCTTTAGTGGTTTTATAATCATTTCAGAACGATCCTGGGATGTCAGTTCTCCCTCCCTCCATCCTCTTCTCCCTCCCTGCCTTTCTGCCTTGCTTTCTGTCACCTATCTCCTAGCTAGCTGGTGGCCAGCATGAAATGATTAGCTCCCACCGAGCCTTTCATTGGCCTCTTTCTGTTGGAAACTGGGTCTCATGTGGCTCATACCTGAGGAGTTGGCCTAGAAATCAGACCTGCCTCCTCTTTGGCATTTTCAACTTCCCAATTGTCTTCTAGATCTTTCGGGCATTGTTCTTTGCCTTGGACCTAAGCAAGGTGTTTAGAATACCAGGACTTTAAAACGAGGGAGGGAGAAGAAACCCACTGATATGTAACCGATGTGATTCTGCAATCTGTATTTGGGGTAAAAATGGGAGTTCATAACCCACTTGAATCTAATGTATGAAATATGATATGTCAAGAGCTTTGTAATGTTTTGAACAACCAATTAAAAAAAAAAAGAAAAAAAAAAGGAACCCACTGAAAAACAGCCCCATTTGCCTGTGTGGCAGGTGTGCAAGCGGGCTCACTGGTGTGTGTAGCCTGGACACGTGCTGCCACATGGTCTGATGCCCCATCTTCCCACAACATCTGTCCCTTGGGTTGCACATATCTACGTAGCCCACAGGGGAGACAGACATTAAAAGGTACCATCTCAGGGAAAAAAGATGTTTTCAGCCAAGGTTGGAAATGAGTTGGAGGGTTGATGAGGCGGAGAGCTGCGGGGGGAGGCTCTTTTGGAGGGCAGCATCCTCAGAGGAGGTGGCAGCCATGACGCTTACATCTGCATCAGTCGGGCTGTGTCAGGGAATGAGAGGGAGTCAGAATTTGGAAGAAGGGAGAAAAAAGGAATTGGGAGGACAAAAAGATTTGAAGGCTTGCCTCAAGACTGGTCCAAGTTCTGATTTTAGGAAAGGGTGGAGAGATGGGTTTCATGGTTTTTCAGGATGTCTGTAGCCTGTTTTGTTCCCCTCTCTCTTTATTCTTGGGCTGTAGTGGGGTTCCTAAATTCTATTTTTTTTTTTAACTGTCTGAGCTGTTCCCACCTTTGCCTTCCATTTGCTTTGCTGCTAAGCTCTCTTGGGGGAGAGTGGGTGTGGGGTCCTCAGCTGGGTGAACTGACTCCCCCATTTGATTCTTGCCCATTCCTCTTTGATTTGGTCTTATTCATGTGTTACTGCTGAGGTTGACTGAGCCATTATGTCAGCTTGAGCACCAAGCAAGAAGAGTGGTGGCTGTGTGCTACAACCAGGTTCTATTGTCAGACATGGAGACCTGGGAGTACAAAAGTGAACTGGCCCTTAAGAAAATCACTCCAAGGACTGGGGCTAGAGCTCAGTCAGTGGTAGAGCACTTGCCTCAAATGTGTGAGACACTGGGTTCGATCCTCAGCACCACATAAAAATAAATAAACAAATAAACAAATAAATAAAGAAATTGGGTCCATCTACAACTAAAAAAAAAAAGAAAGAAAGAAAGTCACTCTGGGGGAGTCATACTTTATTCTGCTTGTGCTTTCCCTGTTTAGAATGTTCTCACAGTTTCATTTTGGCTATTTCCTTGAAGAACTGAAAAATAAAGCAAAACAACCCTCCTCACTAACTCTGTAGACATATTGTAAACCAATACCATTATTCCTCACCATACGTGCCACCCACCAATGCATCTGGGTTAGCTCTGAATTTTTTTCATTCATTTCAAAATACAGAACTTAATTCTAAGCAGATGAAAACATGTTACTATAGGGAAATATGGAAAATGGTATCTCTCTTACACTCTTGCTCCATTTTGGCTCAGAGAAATGTTTGCTGCCTGATTCCCTTGGTGGTGATGGAGGAAAGTTTCCTATTCCTGGACCTCAATGGACTGTCTGTCGTAGGTTTCAGGGCTGCTACTTTTCCCATGGGCTCATTTACATTGATCTCTGTTCAGTTTGGGAAGTAGACAACGGTCTCTAGGGACTGTTTACAAATTTCTGGCATGAGACTCAGGTAGTAGGCAGAGCCCTGGTGGAGACAAGGAATAGGGCCTAAAGACCTTCTGGGAGAGAATCCACTAGGAACAGAGCTTCATTCTCTCCCTGATGTTGTCAGCTCTTGAGGCACACGTTTTGACCTTAGGCCACAATCTTCCAGGTATACTGACTGTGGGCTGCCTTTTCCCCTAGATCTTTGGACTTTATTCGACCACAGTGGGGCTTGTTCTACAGAACAGTCCCTTTTCTTGTGTGGCTATGTGGGTATATGACTCCAGATCTTGGGTTCTCCAGCACAGTTGTGTATGTGATGTTATGTTACCTATGGATCTGATGCCAAAAGGTGGGTAGGTACACACCCTGTAGTGATACCCTGTTTTCCTCTTACAGGAGATATGCAGAGCCTCTGGCTCTCCCAAAAGAGCTTTCTGAGGCTGCACTAAAGGCCATGGAAGAGGCAGTGGCCCAAGAACTCAAAGAAGATCAGAGGTTACTGCTAGAATTGCAGCAAAAGAAGATGCAGCAGCTTCGGGAGAAGCTGTGGCAAGAGGAGGAGGAGGAGATTGTCCAGCTTCACCTGCAGAAGGAGAAAACCCTCAGGTCCCACTTCTCCCCTGAAGGGAGGGACACCTGCCTCCCATTTTTGACACCACTGGGAGGCCCACAGTCCCACCAAGGCTGTTCCTAGAAACTAGTAACTTTTACTAGTCACCTAGTAACTTTTGCTGCTATCTCATTGGTTAACCCCTAGTTACAAGGGAGTCAGTCTATTTATGTAGTAGAATAAAATCAGGATTCTGTTAGTAAGGAAAAAAGGACAAATGAATATCAAGAAGGTAATGAGCAGCCTGTCAGTCTAAGGGTGGAAAAGTGCTACAAAGTAATGTTAAGATATCTAAAAGCGTGGTAGAGAATTACGATTTTTGTATCATACATAGCAAGGAACTTATAAAACATTTATGCTTAATTTTTTTGGAGAAAATAAAACAAAACCCCATTTCCGTACCAGGAAGATCATTGCAAACTCTTTCATTAGCTCAACATAGGATCTGCTAACCCAGGGCTTGCCCTTTTACTACCCTTCTTGGGGTCCTGTCTGGGGAGCATCCCAAAGAACAGACCAATTCATAGCATCCTCTTTTTCCAAGGCCACTGAAAATTGGGGCCGGGGCCACCCAACCAGGGCATAATTCAGCTTATCTTAAGATGGAACACCTTAGAGAAGATCCTTGGGTGTCTCTCTGCCAGCCCACAAGGCTGCTCCCCTTTTACTGGCTACCATGGGCTTGGCTGTGCTTTCCATCTCCTGCCCTTCGACCCCAGAAGGTCAAGACCCTAGAGCACTTTCAGCTTTTGGTGAACACTAGCATGCGAGAAATATTTGATCAGGGCCTGGAACAGCAGTTACTCCATAAATGGCAGCACTTGCTTTTATTTTCAGTTGGAAATTAATACTAATTTAAGTGATTTGTAAGTGATTTGATTAAGTGATTTCTTTGTGGGTAGAGCTTTGTCTGGCTCTCTTTAAAATAGTTGGTCCTTAGAAAGCTGTTTATGTTTATAGCAGAGCCTTTCTGTGGAGGTGGGGCATCCTCCATTTTGCTGGAAAACTTCTGGAAGTTTCTGGATAGAAATTTCTAGAAGCCACAGCTGAGTCCTTTAACCAACAATTGAATGATAAGGCAGTCAGGAAGACAGACAGGCTGACCTTAGTTTCCTCAGCTGTAAAATAAAGAGATAGGATTTAACCTCTAATGTTACTGCCAGCGCTAACATTCTGTGTTGTTCTGTGGATATTTGAGCCATGGGGGAAAAAAAAAAAAAGAAAGGATTTTTGGGTAATCTAGCAAGGAGGATTTTTACTTAACTCAAATTTCCTCTCATAATGGAAGAGAGTGGTGGTGTTGATGGTAGGAAACAATCTTAAATATTTTTTGACTTTGGAGTTTGCTTTTCAAAGAATTGTCTTCCACATCACATTGGTTATAGCCTTGAATTCCCTGAGTGTATAGCACACATCCCCTTGTGTGGGACGGTATGAGGGGGTACACAAAAAGGATGCAATTTGTGTAAGCAGCTTATGTCTGCAGTGGTGACTGTCATTGGTATATAGATGAGACATCTTTCATGGCTAATCAAATATTGCTTATAGTTGGGGCTGGATGAGACTGTCCAAGTCCAACATACATTTATTGAAAACCTACTTTATGTCAGTTACTATGTTCAGTGTTTGAGATATGTTATTATTATAGATGGACACAATACCTTCATTAATTTTTATGTGGTGCTTCACACATGCTAGGCAAGCGCTCTATCAATGAGCTACAACCCCAGCCCAAGATACAACAGATTTTAAGAGAAGATTCTTATTCTGAAGAAGGTCCCAGACTACAAGGAAAACAGATTGCTTAGGATGCAATATGATACATGATGCAGAGTAGCATGGGATAAGAAAGGTTCACCATTTAATGTGTATGGAAAAGGCAAATCAGTAAACTTGGAGGGAATTGGGAAGATTTCCCAGAGAGCTGACTGGTGTTGAGCAGTAAATTTGGGCTTGATAGAAAACAACAGAATTCTAGGCAGAGGAACCAGCATGAGCAAAATCAAGAGACAAGGAAGAGTACAGTGTGGCTTAGAGATGGTGACACATCTGATGTGCCAAGAACAGTGTCTGTAGGGTGGGGAGTGGCAGAATGTGGATCCAGAGTCAGGCTAGGCGGCTGTAACCTTCCTTGAGTGAATGCCCTGCTGAGGTGAATCTAGGCAGAGGGAGCCTGCAGTCCACTTCTTGTGGTAAAGGGCATTTCAGGGAGGGAGCCTCCCAGAGGAGACTTTGTGTTTAAGATTGACATTGTTTCACAGACAGCCTGAGAGGCCCTTGGAGGTCAAGAAACAGGGGTTGTGAAAGGACCAGAAAAGACTTGTGTGGTCCCTCCTCTGAACCTTCCTTTCCTTCCTTCTCAGTTCCCTGAAGGAGCAGCTGCAGAAGGCCACTGAGGAGGAAGAGGCTCGGATGAGAGAGGAGGAAGGCCAGAGGCTGTCCCAGCTCAGAGCCTGGGTCCAATCCAGCACAGAAGCAGATGAGGAACAAATCAGGTGAGAGCACGCTGTGAGTTGCCCTGCCCTGTGGCAGTGACCTGGAACATGTAGGCCCACCCCCATCCCATTCTCTTTCCCAGAGCTGAGCAAGAGGCTTCCCTGAAAAGGCGGAGAGAAGAATTAGAGTCCCTACAGAAAGCTGAGATGGCCAATTTGGAACAGAAAAGCAAGTGGACATTGGACCAACTCAAGGAAGAGCTGGAGGCTTCAGAGAAGAGAGCTGAGGCCACCCTTAAGGCTGAGAAGGAGGTGGCTCTGCAGCAGCTGAAGGAGCAACTAGAAGCGGAGAGGAGAGAAGTGAGCAAGTGCAGCGAGGGTCTCCCCCCTACATGTCTTTGCTGCCTGGAGAGGGACTGAGTGCAGAGGAAAAGAAAGGGCATGCTCTGGGTCGGTATACAGGGTGGGGAGCCAGGCAGGCAGGTGGCCTGCACAGACAGGTTTGGGACGTAGTAATTGGCTTTTTACTCTCTGTGGACCTGACTGGGCTCAGGGCAGATGCAGCCCTGATCTCCTCAGCTGAGTGGAGGATTCAGTAGTATCCAGAGGCCCCTCCAGGGTCATCTTGGCCCAGCAGCTGCAGCTGGGTCCTATTAGTAGCAGGGAGTCATCAGAGGCATGAAGGGAAATGTCCTATAGGTTTGGGATGGTTTCACAACTGAAAGAACTTCAGCCAGACCAGAGGTCTTGAGATCAGGGCACCCTGTCCCTGTTCATGAGGGGCAGCTACAAATGGCCTCTCCTCCCTGAGTTTCTCTCCTGTCTTAGAATGGGAGGCTGGTACCTTTGTCCCCACTCCCTTTCTCTCTAGCTCCATGTTCTGTTGCCAGATTAGACACTCATGAATGGCCAGTCCACTTAGAAATTTTCTTTTGTAAGGAGTGAACTTTAGCTGTTAGACACAGAAAACTGAAGCAAAGACTGGGGGGCTGTCATTGTAACGCAGATGCTCAAAGAGAGTGTACCAACTCTCCAGCCCTCCCTGGTTTGGATCTTATTTACAGCATCTGTGTATCTATGGCCTGGCCTAGAGGCAGGACAGGAGCCTGAGCTGAAGCCTACTGTAGTGCCCCTCTACTCTCACCTCTAGGTTTCTGTCCATTTGCTACTTGCAGACTTTGGGGATGAGTTAATTCAGAGGAACGTTATTCTCCTTGGCTCCTCATCTTGTGGGAGTAGGGTGGTCTTCCTGGCTGCACCCGTCCCATGGTCCTGGCCAGGGTCCTTGCCCTGCTTTCCTCATGGCTCTTTGCTGCTCCCCAGGCGATGGCAGGGCTAGAGAAGTCGCACAGTGCTGAGCTGGAGCAACTTTGTTCCTCATTGGAGGCCAAGCACCGGGAGGTGAGTGTGGCTGGCCCAGTCTGGCCCACGAGGGCAGAGCCTGGGCAGCCTAGGACCCTGCTTCATGTTGGGCAGCAGCAAAGCTCAACCCCATCTCTGGCCACTGGGGAGCAAGCCTCCCTCCACCTCTAGGCCCTTGAGATGCATGCTGGGGCCCTGGGAGTGAGACCCTACATGGTAGCTCTAACTGCCTTCCTGAGGGTCATACTTCGCGGTGTGTGTGGGTGACTCCTCAGGTGGTCTCTGGCCTCCAGAAGAAGATAGAGGAAGCTCATCAGAAAGAAGAGGCCCAGCTGCGGGAGAGTCTTGGGTGGGCAGAGCAGAGAGCTCACCAGAAAGCTCACCAGGTGGTGGAGTATGAGCAAGAGGTACTACTGCTCCCCGACTCCCTGTGGTGTGTTCCATCATGTGGACCCTAATGTCTTCCATTTTGCTGTGAATACTCAGCGGGGATGGCGCTTCTAGTTCTATTTCTGTGACTACGTTTCCTTAAGGCCAGGTCCTTCTCCATCCCCAGGACCCTGTACACCTGTGGGGAGATGGTGTTGGGGTGTGGCTGTCTGTATGCCTTGGTGCCTTGTGTGTGGCTAGAGGATGTTGGGAGGCATGTATAGGGCCCTGGGTGCTGTTCACCCTCAACTCTGTGTGCTGCCTCCCTGTTTTGTCCCCTGCAGCTCAGCAGCCTCCTGCGAGAAAAGCGCCAGGAGATAGAAAGGGACCATGAAAGGAAGATGGACAAGATGAAGGAGGAGCATCGGCAAGTGATGGCAGAGGCCAGAGAGCGGTATGAAGCTGAGGTAGCTCGACCACACCGCCTGTTGCGCGCGTGCACCTGTGCACACATACTCTGTCACACACATATAGCTAGGGGTCCTTCCTAGCTTGCTTCAGGGCATGAGAGAGGACAAACTATGGTCAGGCATTATGGAAGGCCTTCCTCCTTGGCACCTTCCAACAGTGAAGTCATTTGGTTTTTAATGAAGTATTAGAAACCTTCCCTAATGGGAGGTACTTCCTGTTAGATAGCTGTTCCTTTTTAAATTAAATGGTATAGTAGCTAACAGGTCTTGAGATGTACTACATACCAGGCCCTGCTCTAAGCTCTTGATGTATCTTAACCCACTTTAGTCCTCACAACAGCCTTGGGAGGTATGTCCTCCATTTTAAAGACAAGGATACTGAGATATGAAGAGTTCAAGTCACTTTCCCAAGATTAAACTCAGCTAATAAGTAGAGGAGCAAGGATTCCAGTGACTCCAAATCCTTCAGTTTTAGTCACTGCAACAGCAGGCACCAAGGTTAATGAAATTTCAGGACACCAATAAGTAGACTGGGAAGAATCAAACAGTATTATATATTATCTGCCCTCCTTCCTCTTTGACCTTCGGGTGGGAAAGTTCACTTAACCTGGTTTGGCTTGGCTTGCTTACCTTAGGGGTGAGTAATGCATGGGTGTGGAGGTGGTGACTTTAACCCACAGCTGGATCCCTATGGCTCCTGTTCTAGTAACTGGAACCCATATCCCAGATCTTCTGCAGAAACAGCAGCACTGTGATGAAATTGAGCTACATCCCAGGCCAGTTCTGACCTTGCTGAAGAATAGTGATAGTTGATCGGTGGCCTCTTTCCCCGTGAGGGAGAGCTGGACACCATACACGAGTGGGTGAAGCAGGCTGACAGGGGGCTCCTTCCTGATGCCTGGCAGCATCTGCTTCAGCTGCAGGGCAAAGTAGGCATCCTGATGCTCCCCTAGGAGTTGGCCATGGGGAGCTCTTACTGACCCAAGACTGCAGGGGTGAGGGAGTCTGATTTTTGGGGTATGAGAAGCCCCTGCAGATTCCTACTGGTGGCCCCACCTCTTTATAGGAGAGGAAGCAGAGGGCTGACCTCCTGGGGTACCTGACTGGAGAGCTGGAGCGCCTGCGCAGAACCCACGAGCGAGAATTAGAGACCCTGAGGCAGGAGCAGGACCAGCAGCTGGAGGACCTTCGGCGTCGGCACCGAGAGCAGGTGAGGCCTGGGGGGTGAGCCCCACTAGGACACCTCTGTGCAGGGCAGGGAAGTCTTGGGGGCTGACATTGTGGCTGCAACAGGATGGAGCCCTGCAGCTTCAGGAGAGGAGGTCTCTCCCTGGCCCTCTAAGCTTAGGGGCATCTTTGTTTCTTTGGATTAGACAGGGAAGTCAGTCCCTCTAAGGCTTTGGGGTTGCCCCCTGCACCCCAGTCTGGGAATCAGCAAGGTGTAGTACATGCACAGTAAACTGCAAGGGAATTAAGAGGAAGTAAGCCTGAGCCCAGCTCAGAGGTCAAGCTAATACCTTATCCTCTTTCTATGCTGACATCTTTCTCTTCACTACACTCTGGGCAGGAAAGGAAACTCCAAGATTTGGAGATGGAACTTGAAAGCAGAACAAAAGATATCAAGGCCAGATTGGCTCAGCTGAACATCCAGGTGAGAGAGTTGGGTGGAGAAGAGATGTGAGGTGTACTTGACCAGAGTCCACTCCTCCAGGAGAGGGCAGACCCCTGCCCCTCTGGCCTGGGGTCAGCAGTCAGCCCACAGGCCCATCTCTTCCCCTTTAGGAAGAAACCTTGCAGAAGGAGAAGCAGCAGCTGCTTGATGTGCAGAGGCAGGTGGCTCTGGAGAGAGAGGTTTGTCTGCCTCACTTGTTCCCCAAGGTTTCTGTTCACCTACTCTGCCCAGCACCCAGGGGTTCCAAACTAGGTTGGCCAATATTCCACAAAAAGTGCCACTCTGTGGACTGTGGTGGGAGGCCCGGGAGCCTGCAGACCCCCTGACCCAGACACAATGGCTTCAGTGGCTCTGGCTTCCATTCCCTGTCTCATTCTTTTCTGGCTTCCCTGTCCTGACTTCTTCTTACTGTATCTCTGGGTGCTTCTGTCTTTCCTTCTCACACTCAGGAAGTCACAGTCAACCATCAGCACCTGGAGGAGGTGAAGAAGGAGCATACCCACTTGGTGGAGTCCAAGCGACAGCTCCAAAGGATTCTTGAAGAGCTGCAGGCCCGCAAGATAGAGCTGGAGTCCCAAGTGGATCTGCTGCAGATGCAGAGTCAGAAGCTGCAGAAGCGTGTCAGGTGGTGTGGGCTTTCGGCACCTAGTCACCCTCTCACCTTCCTCCCACCTTCCCTTGGACCTCTGCTGCTCTTGAGCCCCATCTCATCATGGCCCAGTTAACAGGGAGAGGTGGAGGACTCAACTCAGAAGCAAGGCAGAAGGGTGTAGAGTTGCTGCTGCATCTTTTAGGGAGGCTATGTTGAGGCTATGAAAAGCAGGGCATCCCTGCCTCCCCTGTTCATGCCTCAGCCCCACCCCAGGGACCTCGGTGGCAGTGAGAACCTGGATGTGGTCCTGACAGTGTGGCCTCCTTCACCCAGTGACCCTGCCTCACACCCCTATTTCCCACTTCCCTTCCCCACCACAGCAGCCTGGAGGCTGAAGCTCAGAGGAAGCAGGACATCTTGAAAGAGCTGGCAGTGGAGGAACGTAATGCTTCCCCACATTTTGAGCCAGATCTCCACATTGAGGACCTGAGGAAATCCCTTGGGACAGTGAGCTGGGGTTGGGGCCTGGGGGGGATAATTGGGGGTGGGTTCAGGGCATCAGTGGTGGGGGGGGATTAGGAGGGGAGCCTGGCTGTACTGCAGACAGAACCTGGTTTCCTTTTCTTATTCCCAGCTTCCCACCATCTTCACCAAATGGTACCTAAAAGTGAAGAGTACCTGGCAACTGGCAGAGCCATTTCCTTGTCTAGGCCACTAGGAGGGGCTTCGGGGTGTCTTGACCATGCAGGGTGTCTGCTTTTGCTGCACTCACTAGGTTTTTTTCTGCCATGTGTCCATAGAACCAGACCCAAGATGTGTCCTCTTCTCTGTCCCAGGGCAAGGAGACTAACTTATCCTTGGACGGGTAAGTTCCTACTGCCTGTCTTATTTGAAGATGAGGGTATCACAGAGGGATGAGTGAGGGCTGTATCCCAGAACTGAAGTGACAGTGACCACTAGTAGGGCTTTATTCCTAGGAGAGGCCTAGAGATGGAAGATCCTCTTTACCAAGCCAAGAAACTGGCCCTGTAACCTTCAACAGGCATCTGCTGACCTCTGGTTGAGGATCAGACTGTCTGACATCTGGGGCCAGGCACAATTCCTTTCAGAATCAGGGTGGGGAGACTGTTAGTCCCATGTGCTGTATGCTATAGGTGTTTAAAACCAGTGTCCCTGTGTAGTGCCCAGCCCCAGCCCAGCAGTTCCTGTGTGCTCAGGGTGGGCATTTGCTTGGGAGTGGCTGTGTGTCCTGAGCAGGGTTTTTAAAGTCTTGCCTTTAACTTCTCTCCATTTCCTTTGCCCTGCTGGTCCTCCCAAAGTATCCGCCACTACCTCTCCGCCGAGGGGATAGCCCTCCGCAATGCCAAGGAGTTCCTGATGCGACAGACACGTTCCATGCGTAAGCGGCAGACAGCCCTGAAAGCTGCCCAGCAGCATTGGTGCCACAAGCTGGCCAGAGTCCAGGAGGTGGCTGATGACCCTCCAGGCACTGAGGCTCTACAAAATATGCGCAAGAACCTGGAGGAGGTCAGAAGCCTGGAGGGGAACCTGCCAATTCTATGTGGTGCAGGCCTGTGGGGGCCAGTGGGACCCTTGCCTTTGGGCTCTCTTCAGTTGAAAGTTCTGGAGACTCCATGAGAAAGACCACATGGGCCCTGTGATTACTTACATTTTCATGTATACATCGTGTGCAAACAGCACTTTCTCTAATAGTAAAGTGTTTGATCCTCACGTTAACCATATAGTAGGCAAGATAGTACAGGTTGAAAAGTCCTCATTAGAAAGTCTGTTGAACCAGTGTAGTCACACAAATGTTCTAAAATCTGAAAAACTCCCCAAATCTGAAATACTTCTGGACTCAAGCATTCAAATAAAGGATACATACAGCTATCTTATTATTCCCATTGTCTAGATGAAGTGTATGACTGGGGTTTAAAAATTTTCAAATTCAGTGCTAAGCATTTCCATTCTCTCATACTAATGACTTCATTTAGAAATGAAAGTCTTTTGGACATACTAAGCATAAGATGAGTTACTTTTCTGGTCTGCTTCTCTGATGGTCTAATTTGCAATGAATAGGCAGAGATTTCATTGTTAGCAGTTGGTATCATAGATCTTTGTACTGGTTGAACGTACCTGCATCATGGGCTCTGCCCTGCCCTCTTGGACACCTGGGTTCCTAGAATTCTGATGGTGCTAGAACTCCTTATGGAGCTCAGGCCCTGTGGTCCCTGTGCCTGGCTTGGCTCAGCAGATGGTCTGGTACAAACAGAGGGCAGGCTTCCCAGGGTTATCTATCTGAAGGCTACCCTCAGGCTCTGTTACGTAACCCCTCTCAATGTCAGCAGTGGTGGTGATGATGATGATGATGATGATGATGATGATAGTTGGAGCAGTGATGGTAATAGCAGGAACCACTTAAGAATCTCCTCGGTGTGGGCATCATGTTGAGCATGTACCATCCTTTATCATTTAATTCTCACAATCCACTGAAAAATAGCATTTCATATTTTCAAATGAGCAGCCACAGGAGAGCTGTGTTCCAGACCACTCTGTCAGCAGATGCTAGAGCTGGGACTCTAGCATGTGTATGAGCATCATTTCTCTCTCCTTTCTCCCCTCTGCAGGAGACCAGGTACCTGGATGAGATGAAGTCAGCCATGAGGAAAGGCCACGGTCTGCTGAAGAAGAAAGAAGAGAAGCTGAATCAGCTGGAGTCCTCTATTCGGGAAGAGGTGTCATCCTGTGGCCACATAACTTCCCTTTTCAGTTCCCAGGACAGGGCTAGGTTCTTTGGTTCTGGATTAAGGGTACTGGGCCTCTAGGGCTCAGGATGGGATGCTGGTTTCAGGCTTGTGGTTGGTGAAAATGGCAGTGAGTTGAACACATCTCAGGGGTGGGATGTGTGCTGAGTGTTCCCAAGTTACCCTGGAGCTTCTTGGGAAGGTGCAGGGAAAGGGGACTAACTCCTGCCCTTCCCTGCTATGTTGTGACTGTAGTGTGAGGGTGCACATGCATCGCAGGTGTCCCTACCCCCCCACCTGCCCTGGTGTGTATCCCCTCATGCCTCAGATAGAGGTGTGGCAGCAGGGAAGCTCAAGGAGACTGCGGAGACAGTGCTGGGGAGGGCGTGGCATCTGTTACCTGTGTCTTAGGCAGCTGGGTTTTCTTAGCCTCCCTCCTACCCACTCGCCCAAGGGGCCTGTGTAATGTGCCTCTCCCAGGGGCCTTGGAGCTTTGGGTCCTAGAAGAGCAGACTCCTTGGACTCAGTCCATACTCATCACGCTGGAGGGGCAGTACTAATGGCTGGTTCTACCCATCAGGCCTCAGATGAAGACACTTTGAGAGGAACCCCCACCAAGAAGGCAGTGACCTTTGATCTCAGTGACACGGAAGACACAAGCAGTGAAAGCTCAGAATCCTTTCCCCTGCTTCACAGTGAGCCATGGCGGCAGCAGGGAGGTGAGCAGGAGAGAGGCCGTGGGAGAGGCGAATCCCAGAGTATTTGGAGATGGGGGATGTTACGGACACAGTGCACTCCCCTTCCCTCAGCCCCACAGGGGGTGTGTGAGCCCTTGTCTGAACTAGATACTTGGTAAGAGCTGGGTTGGTGGCATACTACGAGAGCTTTCTGAATGTTGTGGACTGTCCCTGTTAGCCTCTTCTCTTTCAGGGTCTCTTGGGAGGCTCTCTCTCCTCTCTGTTCTAGCCTGCAGGAGGGCACAGGGCCCTCTCTCTTCCTTCTCTCTAGGGGCTTGTACGCCTGCCCTGGGCCTGCTCTGTCTGGAACAAGGAAGCCCCAGTTATCCTCTGTCCCCTTTGTAGGGCCAAAGGGGCTATTGTCTGCAAGAGCAGGGAGGGGCAGCCAGCAGGTGCCATTGTCTGGAATGTTCCAGGGCTCTGAACCTGAGTCCCTCCTACCATCTACCTCTTTCCTTTCAGTTACCTCCACCTCAAGTACCATCTTCCCCAATAAGATCAATTACTTGAGCAGCTCCCTCCAGCGGATCAGCAGTGAGCTCAACAGTGTCCTCAACATTCTGGGCAGCCTCAGCACCCAGCCACCCCCTTCGCTCTCCAATTCCTGGCCATCTCAGTTCTTGCCGCGGTCTTCCAAGAGCACCCCGCTTCCCTCCTACCCCTTTATGAACAGGGTTCCATCCACGTCTCCGGTTACACCCGTGTCCACCCAGTGGGCCTGGGACCCAGGGCTGGGCCCCCGGCTCCCCTCTGTGACTCAGACAGTGGACGACTTCCTTTTGGAGAAGTGGCGCAAGTATTTTCCCTGTAAGCCTCCCTGGGCTGCCCTTGGTTTTGGCTGTGCCTTCCTGCTTTCTTCCTCTTCCTCCATTTTCTTCTACCCTCTTTGTCCTACTATTCCTTTCTTCTTCTTGCTTACCCCTGTCCCTGCCCCCAATTTTGGTACATGGCTGTGTCTCTGGATCCATGCTGAAGACCTTGCCGATGGCCCTGCAGCCGATGGCTCTGTGGATCAGGATGGTTAACATGGAGCCTGGGCTGACTGGGGCCTTTATTATGTATTGTAGAGCTCAGCAGACCCTAGAAGGTCGTCATTGTCATTATCATAATGGCTCCCATCTTGTGCAGTACATATGAAGGCCAGGCACTTCATATCTGTCTGTCTTTCCCCCTTTAATCCATATCATAATTCTTGGCAGTAGTAATCATCCCCATTTTATAGATGAGTAAGCTGAGACTCAGGTTAAGTAATGGGCTCCAGGACACCCAGTAAGTGAGTAACAAATCAGGTTTTGACCTCATATCTCTATGACTCTAGGATTTTGCCTCTAATCCCTTAGCTGTGGCTTTCCCTTACCTGTGGCTTCCCCCTTACCTGTAGCCTCCCCTGGTCTCATAGCCCTGCAGGGAGTATGAGAGGCTATAAAAACAATCATTTGAAGGAAAATATGGGGGAAAAAAAATCTTCTTTCTGCCTTAACCCAAATTGAAATGTAGATTAAATTTTAGAAATAAATAGAACACTTCCCGTCTGTCACCTGTCTCTCATCTCTAGGCTCTGAAGCTCCCCCTGCTTTTGTGTGTGTGTTCTGGGGTGCTGCCTCATCTGTTTCCAGGGGGGGCAGAGGTTCTGGTGAGCAGCAAGGCATCCTGTGGGGCCTGGGTCTGGCTCCACTGGACCAGGGCCCCTGAGCTCTTCCCCTCCACTCCCTCAGCTGGCATCCCCCTGCTCAGCAATAGCCCTACCACCATGGAGAACCGCCTGGGCTATGTGTCTGCCAGGTAAGCCTCCCAGTGGGCTCTGTGGGGCAGTCAAGCTGCTGTCTCCGCTCCCTGGGCAGATGGGACCTCTGAGGGCAACAGACTCCTGGTCCTGATGGCCTAGGAGGTTAGACAGATCCCCACAGAGCTGCCACACCTTGCCTAGGACTGAGACGCCCCCACAGCTGGGGAAAATCAGATGAGGAAGGTGCCTGTGGTACCTGTGGTGGGACCCTGCACACTGCCCCATAGGCTGGCCTTTCCACCCTGGAATCTGGCCTTTGTCTTTACCATTGAGCTCTTTGTCTACTTTCCACGGCTTCCTTCTTCTCTAAATCCTGCTGAGCAACATCTGGAATGAGAGGGACACCCCATTGGGGAGACAGACGGGCAATTCTTTAAACCTGTTATTAATTTCCCATTCATCTTCTTCCTTGCCAAGTGTGCCTCCCCCTCCCTGAGACCCCAATTGGAAGTCCCCCACCGTCTCTTTGGGCCAGCTTGGGAGCTGAGGCTGAGCAAGTATTGAGTTGATCAAGGGAGCTCCTTATTGAAAGCATTTGTTGGAAATAGAGGTGGAAGCCCAGGAGTGGCAAGCAAGCACCTAGGAATGGGCAGAGGGTGGCTACCACCCTCCCTTTTGGGAACTCAGTTTGTCTTTCCAAAAGGGCAGCTTCAAGTTGCTAAAGAGATCTCTGAAAAGGCTATTTCTGGTACTGGTGAGAAGAAGAGCTATGGGTTGGCTTCTGGTTGGCTCTGTCATATGTCGCCTTTCATGCAACACCTTTGTTTGAACTCTTCCTCTTCTCACCCTCTCCTCCTTCCTCTTCCCAGTGAGCAGCTCCGCCTTCTGCAGCATAGCCATTCCCAAGTCCCCAAGGCAGACAGCACCAACTTTCAGAGCATGATTGATGCTAACCGCAAGTGGCTAGAGCGTTTCAAGAATGACTCCAAATCGTATCCTTTCAACTGGTCCCCAAACCACAGTGCCTTCCTGTTGTAGCAGTCAAGCTGGTCAGGCTCTGCTGGTGCTCTGGGGGCCAGAGGAGGATCCACTTCAGCCTCTGACTCTTTCTTGGCTCCATCTGGACATGCTCAGCTGCCCAGTTTTCCTTCACCTCATGGCCAGACATGTTTTTTCCTCGGTGCCCAAGCCTACAGCCACTTCCAGCATGATGTTGCAGCTGGGCCTGGATGATGACAACGTCCTGCACGTATACCACTACTGAGTGACCAGTCGGCATGGAGAGACTCCTCCCCCTCGGGACCCAGGCCCAGGGAGCCACCTGTACTTCCTGCTTCTGAGAAAGCATTTTCCTGTCTGCTCTGCTGCACCCCTTAGGACCTGAAAGAACCACAGGGCTGGGTGTGGGTGGAAAGGATGGTGTGACTCAAATAGTAAGCCATACTCTGTGACCGTGGCCCGTGTTTTGACCTGAAGTGTGTGAGCTTCTTTGAGCTCCTGCATCAACATGGCAGCACTGATGGGCATGGCTGCTGCTGGGCCTGCTCAGGGTTGGAAGGCAGTTCTCTTCAGAGCCAAGGGGATCCCTCCAGAGCCACCCTGGTCCCTTGGACCTTCAGGGACCTGCTTAGAGGTTCCCAGCACACCTGTACCCTGGGACCTGGCTCCTGTGGCCTGCACCTATCTCCAGTACCTCAGCCTCAGAGAGGTCAAATCCTTTCTTTGTTCTTTTGTCTTTTTTTTTTTGTTTTGTTTTTAATGTCTCCTTTTTGAACATTCTTTCCCTCCTAGTGACCATCTCAGGATTTGGTTCAGCTGTTCAGGCCCTGCCGGAGGCTGGACCTCAGAAGTTTTGCCTCTTTTCTCTCAGCCAGCACTGTGCTTTCCTCAGGGCTGTCTCCAGGAGCACCCTCTAATTCCCTGAAGCTCCTGGGAGCCCTCCAGCCAGCATCTCAGGTCCCAAGCACACCACTTCTTCAGGAAGCCAAAAACCAAAACGAAAACACCCACAGGAAAAGACCGGGATGGCCTCTGGTCCTCAACTTGCTTTCTTTCTCTTTCTAGAGTACCTTTGGTGCATTCATGGACTCGGTTTCTACCTGTCTTTTCTACCTTGCCACCCCCTGCCCCAATCCCACTGCTGCCTCTTCCCAGAGCTTAGTGTGAAGACTGGACCAGTGCCCAGCATTGTCAGGGGGGCCCTTATACCAGGTGGAGCTGCTGTTCTCAGGCATCTGTCCCATTGTTTAAACAAAGTGTCCCCATTTTTCATGTCTTGAAAGCTGTGGGGTTGCCCTTGCCAGAGAAACCAACACTCGCTGTCTCACCACTCATTTCTTTGCCATGGAATAAGACTGAGATCCAGTTGGCTTTTTTACCCCCTCACATATGTTTTAGGCATCAGCCTACCACCTAGAAAATGTCCTATTTGTTATTTGGCTTATTCTGTGTGCTTTGGGAATAGCTCATGTGATACGACCAGCTCTGGTGACAATCCTGTGTTTTATGCATCAATTAAAATCTCTGCAGGTCCATTTTCTACAAGTCCCGTGTGTGAATGTGTTTTCTTTTTAGAGGCCTTTGCCTCCTTTCTCCTGAGAAGAAGGCAGGAAGGAAACACGAGTATTCATGGGACGCCTCCCTAGGCATATGATTAAGTCACCACAACAATGTAGATACTGATGTAGATACTGTTGGCTCAGTTTTTATGGATGAGGGGAAACCAGGGCTCAAAGACGTTGGAAGTGCCTGGGGTCCCCAGTAAAGTGTAGAGCCCCAGAGTCCATCCCTGTTCCCCCAGAGCACCCTCTGCCCAGCTGCCAGTCCTTGGGAAGTGCTGTTGTTCTCCACCTCTCCCATTGCCCCCTCCCTGTTCTACCAGCTGGACATCCATAATGCCATTTCCCAGAGGCCAGTGGGTTCCACTTTCATTCATTGAAAGATAAATCCCCACAAGGTGCTAAACTGGTAGTTAGGTGAGTCTTTTCTGTTCCATGGGTATGAGCAGCAACAAAACTGCTAGGAGAATCACCTGAGATGGCCCTGTTATGAAGATTTGCACACAAACCAACGTAAAGATAAAACATATAGTAGAAGTTCCCGCCCTTCCTAGAAAGGAAGGAAAGACCAGAGGGAGAAGCAGGCAAGCTAACATTTGTTGAATGTCTTCTGTTGGCTAGGTGCTCTTTATATATTCTTGCTTGCAATCTTTACCTAATGAAGTTGGTATTCTTATTTTATAGATGAAGGAATTTAGGCACCGGAGAAATTAGCCCATACACCTAATGACTAGGACTTGAACCCAGGTCCACATGTCTCAGAAAGTTGAGTTCTGATGCCCCTGTTCCACTGTGTCAGCACCCTCTGTCTTCTTCCTGGACAGCTTGGTCTAAAAACCTGGGTTCTAGGAAGGCGGTGGCTTCTAACTGAATGGGGGGCTTCCTGGGACAAGGTTTACAAAGGGACTTTTCAAAAGACTCCAAAATCGTCTCATTCTTCCTCTTGTGGATTTTCAAATCTAGCTAGGAGACTAAAATCATAGACCTGAAAAGAACTATGTTTGTCTTTTAGGGCTGCTTTAAGAAAACCACAAGGTGTAGCTCAGTGGTAGTGTGCAAAAAGCCTTGGGTTCAAACCCCAGCACTCCTCTTCCCTATACCATGAACTGGATAATGTTTTTTTGGTTGTTTTTTTTTTGGTACCAGGGATTGAACTCAGGGGCACTTGACCACTAAGCCACATCCCCAGCCCTATTTTGTATTATATTTAGAGATAGGATCTCACTGAGTTGCTTAGTGCCTGACTTTTGCTGAGGCTGGCTTGGAACTCTTGATCCTCCTGCCTCAACCTCCTGAGTAACTGGGATTACAGGCATGCGCCACTGCACCCGGCAAACTGGGTAACTTTTAAACAACAGAAATTTATTTTTTTGCTGAAGGCTGGAAGTCAAAGATAAGGCCCTGGGAAATTTGGTGTCTGGTGAGGACTGCTTTCTGGTTCATAGGTGTTACTTTCCTCACGTGGTAGGAAGGACACTAGTCCCATTTGTGAGGGCTTCATGGCCTGATCACCTCCCACAGGCCCCACCTCCTAATGCCATCATGGTAGGCACTGGGTTTCAACCTGTGCTTTGTGGAGAGTGGCATGAATGTCAAGTCCATAGCCGAAGCCTAGAAGATGCCTTGTTCCACTCCTCATGCTTTCTAGTAGAGCCGATGGCCTAGAGAGCCTGCGCGAGCTGCTCTGGTTTCAGTGTGTGGCGGAGGTGGGACCTGAGCCCAGGAGTCTTGACTTCTCAGCCTGGGGCTTCAGGAAAAAGCCATTTGTTTTAAAAGATATATTTTGATCAGTCCTTATGTTCACATGGCTCAATATTCAAATGTTACAAAAGTCATTTGTCCATGAGCCATCTAGTGCTCCTCCTTGAAGGTAAAAAATATCACTAGTTCCTTCTAGAGATTTTATGCTAACACGGGAATAGAAGAAACATCCTTATGGTGGGGAATAGGTCACTTCTCATACAGGGGGAGCTGATTTCCCAAAGCTCTGTTGTGAGGTGATGACTGTTCCCACACCCACACAATAACTGTGTAGGGCCCAGGGAAGTAACCCTGGCCTTAGGATGTCCGGGTTTGCTTTTGGCTCTTCCATCTGAACAAGTCCTCTGATCCCAAGTCTTCCCTGGACCAGACTCGGTTCCACATTCCAGGGACGAAGCAATGTAGCTGCCTCAGCTTCAGCACCTCTGAGAGTGGGGAGCCAGAGGGGTGCAGGAAGGCTTCCTGGTTTCCCCAGCAGCCTTTTCAGGGTAGGTGGAAAAGTGATGGTTGAGAGGTGGAGGACCTGTCACCAACTTGTCCTGATGAATTGGAAGTCCCCTGTTCTTGCTTTCCTTCCTAATCTCTCACTTGCCCTGCCTGCCTCCCCTCTGGAATTTGCAGTATATCACAGAATGCTGAGCTAAAAAAGGGAATGTGACTCAAACAAGGGTTCACATTTTATTCTCTTGGTGACTTGATTTTTCACATCTGTAAAATGGGGCAAATAGTACCTGTCCTATCAAGTGACTGTGGGGATTCAGGTTCTCAGAAGAGCACTCAACATGTAGCTGCTGCTCTCATGGCCCCTGCAGATAAGTTGGGCCCCGATTGAGGCCCTGGGACTTACAGTGCTCCCCATGCCTAATGGCAAAAGTCTCGGACACAGAGAATAAAACAGAAAGGAACAAGATTATTAGGGGATTGTGTCCCCCTTCATGGCCAGTTGGGTATGAGGACACAGACTCAGCCACTCTGTCTAGTGTCCAGACTCCCTATAGAACTACTGCTGGGCAGCTGTGGGCACCTTGATCCAGGTTGGGCCGGGGCAAAGGTAGGAAGGGAGAACAGACTTTTTTGCTTACTATTTATGTTATCTTGGGATGAAAGTCTGTCTCCGTCTCTGTGTTGTATCTCCAAAAAATCTGGGGTTTAATTCTGTCTGCCATTTACCAGTGAGGTCACTTTGGGAAATGATTCCTCTTCAGGTCTCAGTTTGCTTATTTGTACAATGAAGCTGAAAATCCCTCACACTGAGATTATTAGTGTAATGACCTGCATCAAGTGCACTGGAGGAGGTGCCCTGGAGACTGCAGCACACTGTAGAAATGTGAGTTGTTACCCAGCATCTACTTGAGTGCTTCCAAGGACAAGGCACTCATCACCCCAGAAGGTGCTGATTCTGCTGTTGGAGGGCTCTGAGCTGCTGCTAGGAGTTTTCTCTCGTTTCTCTCCTGGACTCACACAGCCCTGTTGCCCCATTGCTTCCTGGAGAAAGTTCCAGGTCCTGGAGCTACTTCAGCACTTGCTGGGCTGTAGCCAGGAGAGATCAGTAGGGACAGTGCCTGGGGATCCCCACTCTCAGGAACCTCCTCCTGGGGAGGGTGGAGCTGTGGGATCGGGGTTGAGTCACAGAATGGTGCTGCTGTCAGTATACCACCTCTGTGCTTTGACCAGTTAACTGTCCAGAGACTGGGCCTTGGTATCTTCATGTGAGGGTAGATTCCAGGCCCTCCTGGGAAGCTCACTGGACGGCCTGTCTCCCTTACCCTGGTGCCCGGCGAAGAGTGAAGCACACAGCAGTTGCTCTATAGGCAGCAGGCTTTCCTTCATCTAAGGCTGCAGCCCAATCTTCCCTGCCCCCCTGGCTCTTCGCTTCAGGCTCCCACTGCCTGCTGCCCTGGTGACCCTGCAATGCCCCATCTCACACTGAAGCGCTGCTGGGCTCTGTAGGCTGCTCTCCCCAGGCTCCATGGCCAGGGGTTCTGAGATGAGGGGTCAGTTGTTGGAAGTCCACAAACATGGTGCTGATATCTGCTTGGCAGTGGTAATACTCCTGCTGCCAGCCAGACCCCAACCTTCCCACCGATATCCACCCAGAGGGACTGCTGTCTTCCAGTCTCCATCTCCCTGAAGCGTCTCAGTCTGAGAGGTACAGGGAAGAGGCTGTGGGAGTTGCATGTTATCCAAACACCTGGGGAGGAGAAGGCAAGAGTTTGAAGGTGGGTAGCCCTCAGGTGCCACAGTGTAATGCCCCCTCTGTGTGCACTGGAGGAGTTGCCCTGGAGACTGCAGCACACTGTAGAAATGTGAGTTGTTACCCAGCATCTACTTGAGTGCTTCCAAGGACAAGGCACTCATCACCCCAGAAGGTGCTGATTCTGCTGTTGCATACAGTGCCTGGTGAGCAGCTTGGGCTTGGCCTTTGTGCTGGGCATTGACTCTGAAGCAAGGTGGCCATGGCAGTGTGTGGTGGTGACTGTTCAAGTGCTGAGCCTGAATGCATAGCTCAGAACCCTTCTGGAGACCACCAGACATCACCAAAGCACTGGTGGGATCTGGGCAACCACAGACACATAAGGCCTGGCCTCGAATGGCTGAGTGGCCTCCACCTGCCAGGAAGTATGGCTCCGCCATGTCTGTTCTATCTCCTTCTACCCATATTTCCCACAATCACCCTTCATCCCTCTATAGCTCATATGTGCTTAATAAGTCAGGCACTGTCATGGGTGTAACTGGGAAGAAATGGAATGGTTTTTTGCTTTTGGGAAGTTTGTTAGCTAAGAAGAGTGTTCACAGACCATGGTGGAGGATTGCCAGGTTGGGGAGGAATGAGACTTACATGTGAGCCCTGAAGGAATGAGTGGGGGTCCAGAGTATTGTGAGTATAAGTCAGGGGGGGATGCCCATGTTTGGGGAGACTTTGGGAGAAGAAGTGTCCAAAAGTGAAATGTGTGTCAGGAGGCATCTTGTTTTGTTTCCTGTTGCTATAACAGAACACCTGAGACCAGGTAATTTATAAAGAATAAATGTTTATTCGACTTGTGATTCTGGAGGGTTGGAAGTCCACAAACATGGTGCTGACATCTGCTTGGCATCTGTCAAGGGCCTTCTTGCTGCATCACATGGCAGAGGGCATCATATGACGAGTCAGAGCAAGTGTGCTAGCGTGGCTCTCTGTTCTCTTATTTACTTTCCAAAGGGCCCACCTCCAAATACCACTAATGT